GTAGTGCTTAGTACGTAATCTATTTTGTGCAACAGGGCCAAGTTCGACCGTAGTTTCAAAGCGACCGATCTATATGTATACGCTACCATCTACATCAGCTCACAGTTGGTACACACCCGGTCAACTGTTTCAATGCCAGTTTGTGTAGTGCGTTGAAGGCGTATCTTGTGCCTTCTCCCTTTAGTTCCAACATACTCCTCTGTTTTTTGCTGCGTAGATATAAACATGTACACTGCTCTAAGTGCACTTTAGGTTGCTCACTCTCTCTTCTTCTACTTGCATATTTATTTATCGTGGATCGCAATCTGAAGGCGCGGCTCGGAGAGGGACTGTTCGCTTCGTCGGCGAGACATCGTTTGAAGAAGGTGAGTGCTGCAGTAGCCTTTCATATACTTACACTTCCATACCTAGTTGTAACTTCTGTAGTTTGTATAGTCTCATTGGATTGGCACTATGAGTGCGTGCGTGGCTGGGCTTATAGATATGCAATATGTACGTACAGGAATGTATGCAAGCACCTAGTATTTGTTTGTAAATTGTTTCGTTATATCCTTCGGTAGGGGTCATGCTTTTACTGGCCGATCAGTGGATGCCCTGATAGGCAAAAAGTCAGAAACTGGTTGCTAGTACGCTTTGATTTTGAGTGTAGCAGTTTCCAGTCATCTGGAGAATGACCTATTGGATGAATGTCGATCACAAACCAGGTTTCATGTATATCTCTGATCCTCGTATATGTATTTTACGTATATATATATATATGTGTGTGTGTGTGTGTGCGTGTATGGATATGGATATGTATATATATAAATATATATGAGCATGTTGAATTTACGTATTCTTGTACTGGATTCGAGTGTTGATGTGGCTATAATCCATCTGCCATCAGGAATCTGGGCTGGCATAGAGTACGATGAACCATACGGCAAGAACGATGGCAGTGTGGAAGGCAAGAGGTACTTCACCTGTGAGCCCAAATACGGCGGTTTTGTGAAATGCAAGTGGGTGGTATGTGGAGAATACCCAGAACTGGGCTTGAGTGATGATGAAGAGCTATAGGCTGGTATCCATTACGTATAGCAATAAAGCGCACATGATGCTGTAACATATATATGAACGTACTTAGTCGGGGGAGAGTGTTAGTGTAGAGATCCATCCAGCGTCAATGAGGAGCCTTGGACTGCATGTTTAGGCAGTCACTTCTCCGTAGCACGTGCGAGCCAGAGTCCTACCTTTCAGCGCAGAACACTATGAGCGTATGATTCCAGCATGATTCATATGATCCCAAGACTTTTGTCACAGCCCCGGTGTGCTTTTAAGTGGAGAGTGACATCCACTGAGCCACTGAGCTGAACACGTCTCCCGTAGTATGAGTCAGCAGCGATTGCTACGTCGCCCAAGACCCAGGCCACCAACATTTGAAATGCTGATTTTTCGGGACTCACAATGGGGTTAGACCAGGACTGGCCAATCAGAATGCAAGGAATTCCTGCAGAGCAGTTTATTAAATACATGCCTAGCATTAATATATATATATATATATATATATATATAAGTGGGGTTGACTGTGAAGTATTCTACCTCTGTTGCTAATAGGTTTATATAAGCTTTGGTGTGGGAAGATACGAATAAACATGAGAGAGTCGGTGACATCTGTATGCAGACTACCTATGTTGGCAGGCGATTGACCAAATACATTTGAGCCTTGCAGAAACCAGAAAGGCTATTACACCACGTGAATAGGTTAATACGATTATCGAGTCGAACTGGGTGAGATACGGTGACTCGATAAGCGACACGTTGCAACATCTGTTTAAGTGATATGCGGGAGGTGCTTGAGGATAGAAGCCATAGGTAACACATTCGTAATCATGGAGAACAAACAACGCGGCACTACAGATGGTGTAGCAATCTGAATAACGCATGCGATACTGAAAAATAGTAACAATCGCAAAGAGGCGGGTAAAGTGCAAATAACCTCGAGTGTAAACGTTCCATAATAAATATAAGCTCTGTCTAAGCTGATATGCCTTAAGTGCATTTTGGTTCACAGCAGCAATTGTATATTGTCTCTGCCACACTCCCACCCTGTTGTATGCCCAGTATAAGTCTCTGTAACATCTCGGCCTCCGACAATCATGCACCGCGCCAATCCGAAAGATACGTCTCTGTTGGCATTCTTTTCGGCGCACAGTTGTTGATGGATCGTCTTCATAATTGACAATAGATGTTCTTTCGAAGGCGCTAAGCGAAGGCAACGGTATAATAATCTGCTCAGAAGAATGATTCAAGAAATAGCACTTGGGCATGTATCTAGAAATTGCCATACCTTCAATTACTAACCCGATTTCAAGAGCCTCAAAACTAAGCTGTGCAGCTGAATGACAACAGTACATAATGTTTATTGGATACAAACGTAGATAAAGTAACGTTTGCTGTAATTCGGAATACTACCGTCGGCGATAGTTTTAACAATGACGGATTGGATTTCTGTGGCGACTTTGAAGCCAATGGTAATTTATGCGTGCTAAGCCCAACATGAAAGGAACCGCTTCATCAGTACAACCTGATATAGTGTCCCGATATTACTTTCAAACAAATTGACTTTGGCTCCCTCGTCTCCGACTCTTGTCAAGGTTTGCAATTGCAAATAAAATAATCTAACGCCAACTTCAAGTCTATCTGTATACCCGATACTGTGCTATAATGGGCAGTGAACGACCCCAAGAAACGACAGAGCCTCTTTGCTTTTCTATGCCTCTTGGAGAATATGAATACACATGTTTGTAAATACATGTCCAAATTTGTGTAGTGCAAGATACGCGTGTACGTAGTCGCATGTATTTACAAACTCATTCTGGGATGAACCATAAATATTGGGTTTTGTATATTTTGTTTTTATTTTTGAAAAGAAATAGGTGTGTATGTACATACTGGGTCTGCAATTCTGCGTCATTCTGAATGCCCTCAATCCGTTTTATTTCGAAGAGGTCCATTTTAGTAGGCTATGCGTAAACGCTTATTTATATTTATAATATACGTAAACGCTTTTTTTTATTTATAATATATACGTATGCTTTGAAACGTTTATACGGGGGTTAAAAGATTGGGGAAATCACAATCGGCCTAATACAGTATGCTCTATTTTATTTTTTAAAATGGACACTCTTTAGAGCGTAACCGCCAGATGTAGGGCCATCCCAATATCAACGTTAATTGTGAACGTATATTATTTAGTTTAAACGTAAAACTCAAAACGTATTGCGGTTAGACTGACTGACCGTGTTCGACACACACCGATCAGATAGACGCATTCTCTTCCAATCAAAACACATCTGCAACAGCTTTTTTTTTGTTGTTCTTCAACGTCTGCGATTCCCATCACAGTTGTGTGGCACAACATGTGACTAAAACCTCACTCTCTCCCTCTAGAGAGATATATATAAAATATATACACTCAGCAGTGAATTCATACGAAACCATACGCCACTTCTATATAGCAAAGCTGTAACAGAGAAAGATAAGTGTAGCAGTTCAAATATTCACCATGACGCAACCAAAGCAAACAGAGACCAAGCTGTGGGGTGGCCGCTTTACCGGCGCGCAGGATCCGGTGATGGAGGAATTTAACGCTTCCATTCGATTCGACAAACGCATGTACAAACAGGTATGACAGAGTGTTTGTTTACAAAGCAATCTTCGTTCTATTTGATAAGCGAATGTATGGACAGATATGACGAAGTGATCACCCCTGTTCATGCTTTGTCAGCAGTAAGGTTCAACGCTTTTATGGCGGTATATGAGGTGGCAGAATTTCGAGTGATTTGGAATTTACATTATAATAGTATTCGTTTTTCGTTTAGTGATTTGAGTTTCAAAGGAATACATTTAGTTATTTTATATTCGACCTGTGCACGCGTACGTATCTTTAATCTCATAGTCGGAATGTGTGCGCCATTCCTCATATGTCGCCAGTGATGCGAAACTTTGCTTCATGATAGCTGGTAAGGCGTTTTAGCACAATACTAGACGCCCTCATTGCAGAAAATTGGCCCACGTTTAAGATGAATGTGGATTATTGCATCGATCAATGACTGCTTCGTGTTCATTTAATATTTCAGTGTTGAGTATTGTATATCCATGTTGGTGTTGCTGATATATCTTTAAGAATATTGCCTTCAAGCTGTGTGCTATATGTGTGATACAAATAAACAAGCTACGAAGCTTGAATTGGGAGGTGTATCATACATATAACAACTCCTTTAAGTCCAGATATAACCTCGATGGAAACCCTCTAATGCCGCCGGATCTATAGTTCATACCCAGCATCTACATTGAACTTCTATGAACTTCTTTGCGGTAAAATCTCAACTATCAATATTAGGACATCGAGGGGTCGATTGTATACGCGAAGGCTATCGCTAAAGCAGGTCTCATTACGGACGCTGAATCTGAAACACTACAAAAGGGGCTACAGGACGTCTTGGAGGAGTGGAAGGCAGGGTCGTTTGTTATCAAGGTTAGTCCGATGTACCATTGCATGCGTCTGTAGGTCCTGTACATTTGACATGCCTAACCGGGCTTTGTAAGGAAATTCCCACTCGAATTGACACATTAGAGCACAGTACTGCAAATTATATTTGCTCTGGATTATAGTGTATGATTCCAAGAAACGATGTTATCGGATCCTGTAGATAATCGATACATAATGTTTCAGAGCATTTATCTCTGTCATTTTTGCTCCATAGTCCGGAGATGAGGACATTCACACAGCAAACGAGCGTCGTTTGAAGGAGATGGTGGGGGATGTCGCCGGAAAATTACACACCGGTCGTAGCAGAAATGATCAGGTATGTTTAATGTAGTTGCTATGTAAGCAAATAGACGGGATTAATACATGCATAAAGTGTACGTATACTCCTGCGAGATGCATCTCCAAAGAGTTTAGTACCATATGTCGTTCTGTTTTTCCACACTGTCCGCAATAGCAAAGACTCGGTGGACTACTGTGTCGTTGTATAAATATATCTGTAAATGCATACGCACTGATGTATCGATTGCGCTTGAAATGAGAGTACTGAACTTATGCTACAGAAAACCATTTGTTTAACGCATTGTCTAGAATAATTTGAGTGCCAGAATAGATCTGAAATGTTGTACTGGCTCCTTGAGTTGTCAGGTACTCGAATCATGTATGCGACGTATATATATATATGTACACATGTAGATATACATCTATATATAAATCTCTAGTGTTGCGTCGTTCGTCGATACTCAAACAGCCTATCAAATTCCACACCATGGCAGGTAGCGACCGACATGCGATTGTGGCTACGCGAAGAGGCGGCAACAATCAGAAAATATCTAGTGAGTTTAATCAGTGTACATCTCAACAGAGCACAACAAGAAGTAGACGCCCTCATGCCCGGTTACACACACTTACAGGTATGCTTATAGTTACTAGTAGATGTGTATAATTTGTACCACAACGTTGCAGACCGGAAGCCCTATCAAATTCAGTAAATGATTTTAAAGTGTAGCAAGTGTTGGCATATGACATGGGACCTTTAATAACGATTAAGATGTACCACAATCTGAATGAGTGTCAATTTGCTATTTTGATGGAGTCTTGAACCTGTTTGAATTATTTTGGTGTTTCCCCGTGTGCCGATGGTTCGTATTTCTGACAGTTGCTGTTACAATCGAATGGCAACTATGACCATATCATAATGGAGGTGGTCAGCTCGATTTATACTGCGACGGCGTAACTTAGATAGCTCAGCAGCAACGCTCTCGAGCTTTCAATCTGTAAAGGAGTGCTCTGGGGGCATGTCTGTTGCCATTTGCTCCACTAAACATACAACACTATGCACACATACACATCAAACATTTAGGATTATGTACATATACACACTAAACAAACAAGCTTATACATGCGCTGTGCAGAATTCGCTATCTGAGTATCTAGACTTCTGTGGCACTAACATCACTGTTGTCGCTTGCAGCGTGCTCAACCCATCCGCTGGTCACACTGGGTGTGTTCATACGCCTCGCAACTGACACACGATCTGGAAGCTTTGGACTCTCTCATCCACCGTTTCAACGAGTGTCCGTTGGGCTCAGGGGCATTGGCTGGCAATCCCTTTGGTGTGGACAGGCAGTTCATAGCGCAAGAGTTAGGTAAGATGTATTACGGTATACTCTGGACTCGTTATTGTGCGTTCGCTGCCTTCGGGTGTGTGTTATAGCGTATCTGATGGTATGTGTAATAACTGACTCGCACTTAGACTGGAAAGCTTTGGCAAGCAGCCAACTGGTAGTGAAAAGTCTACCCAATGTCGTGGATTTTTGTTTCTGCTGTTTTCTGTTGTTGCATTTGATTATTTGATAGTTTTTTATGTCCACTTACGCGATCAAGTGCGCGCGTTATGCACATTATTGGGCCAGAGAATTTGAGATAAGCGTATACGATCGTCCCTGGAATGAACACTTGGTCTAAATTCTTGCCACAGTTTAGCTTTGAAATTTCTGTGCAGGGATATGAATCTGTATGTGTGGGATTCACAAGCATGTTTACGTATGGGTAAGCCGTGTCTGATATATACGAACCTTGATTCTCTCGAACAGGGTTCAGAGGGCCTACAGCCAATAGTCTCGAGGCCACCCGTTCGCGTGACTTCATCACAGAGTTCTTGTTCTGGTCATCGCTAGTAGCCTCGCATCTGAGTGGGTGGGCTGAGGATCTCATCATATATTCCACCAAGGAGTTTGGCTTCATCTCGGTTGCTGATGCGTATAGGTAAGTTCAAAATGCACGCATGTTTACGGAAATATATAATGCATATGTCCCTAAGAAACAGCTTGTGTATCCCGGGGTGAGCTTGGCTGAACCTGGACTGTAGATGAGCCGTCTCTCGCGTGATTTTGGCAACTGATACATATGCGCGCGTAATTGAGTCTTACATTATTTCATACTAAATTTGTAGAGTCGTTGGCCGCCTTAAAGCGAATAGGCTTGAATGTGGAGTTTCTGTATGCATGCGTTCAACAAAAATTGTGTACGATATACATACCACCGTACTGTTGCAAACTTTGATCACTTGTACATCACCTTCCCCTCTTGAAGCTTAACAAGCTACATAAATAGGGTCACTGACGTGAGCGTGCAAGTTTATGTTATATACACAAAGGCTCTAATATAGACGCAAGCAAGTGCATTGATTATGTCTTATTCCTACACCCACTTCCCCGTCATCGCACAGTACGGGTAGTTCGCTTATGCCACAGAAAAGAAACGCCGATAGTTTGGAACTCATCAGAGGCAAGAGCGGTCGAGTGTTCGGTCAGGTAGGCTACATTTATCTATTTGAGATAGAGTTGTCCAGGCTGTGACTCAGTATCTAATTGACCCTTTGGATAAGGGCGACCCGCGGGGGGGGGGGGTTGGATTGGTATAGGATCGCGATAAAGTCAGTTTAAATGTTTGGATCCCTTAATATCTATGTTCGAGTGAGTTTCTGTTGCCGGATGAACTGTTTGCACTGTACCAGGCTGATCATAACCATGGCATAAGATCGCATTCAATTGTCAAGCTTTGTAGAAGGTGCCTTTATACATGGGGTTCGAGAGAAGAGTGGATCGGTGTGTATATATACTATGTATTGATTTGCACCATCATTTGACTGGAGAGCACCTAACTGGACCGATCTTAAGTGTACCTCCATACATATTTGACGTAGATCGCGGCGAAATCAATCCCTGTCAGCATGTGCGCGCGAGTGTGCGCAATTATGTCTCACGTGCATGTACGATTATTTGCAACTGCATATGGAAACACGCTACCTTGTGGACATGAATATCACGTTTGGCATGGCACACTTCATGCGTTCTGACCCCCACCAACTCCTGTGCAACCTTGTGTGTATGCAGCTCGCTGGATTCATGATGACCATGAAAGGCTTGCCCAGTACCTACAACAAAGACATGCAAGAGGATAAGGAGGCTCTATTCAACGTTACGGACACGTTGGAAAGCCTCTTGCAAATAGCTGGTATGTGTGTGTGTGTGCTTGGCCGTTGTCAGAATACACGGTGGCTCTAATAATTTTAGGTACGCCCACCCCTCCTATTCATATCTTTATTGATATGTGCTTGGCTGTAGGTACAGATTGAGGTATTTATACCTACTTATTATGGCTTTAGTGGGGGGGGGGGTAGGCACCCTCGTTGTAATAGACATACAGTGGAGTCGGTTGGGATTTACTATAATTGATACGCAGCCTTACCAGTCTGTACAATCCATAAGGTTTAGTATCATAAAAACTAAAATTCTCGTACACACGCTCGTACTTCTGCGTCTGTTCACATGCATCGATGCGATAGAGGGGGTGATGTCAACGCTGACAATCGATGAGGTGAAGATGAAGAGCGCTCTAGCGATTGAGATGCTGTCCACTGATGTCGCGTACTACTTAGTCCGAAAAGGGGTATGTGCACTCAACGAGTGTATTCGTTATTCAGCATGCACTCGTGGCGTAAATGTCTGAAGCCCATACCTTCAAGCCCATACACGGCGAGATGTGTATATAGCTACCACAGTGGAGACCGCGTCTGTATCTTGATGTATAATTCTGAGCTTGGCATTCTACCCTGAAACTCGGTAGATTTTTGGTTTCTTTAGTCTCTTTTCCTTGTCTGGTAGTTAATTTATGCGTTGTATGAGTGACAGGTCATCTCTGGTAGTTTTGCTCTGGGGTAGGCTTTCTGTGGACTCATTCTCACTTACTGCCTTGCTATCATTTCCACTATATCTCTCGGCTGCCATTGGCGATCCGTCGTAGCGTTTCAGCACCACAACTCTTGTATTTGGTGGTTTCGTATCTGACATCCCCTCCATGACGCTGTGTATCGGTTTTTGCTCAGGTTCCGTTCCGCGAGGCGCATGGATTGGCCGGAGAGGTCGTACGAATGGCCGAAGACAAGAAGTGTGAAATGGATGGGTTGACTAAAGAAGGTATAAATGCATTGTTCATTTTTCTCTGCCTCGTTGTATGGCGCACGATGTATGGCGGTAGGAATATCGATCCACTATTAAATGCGATTTTGCAACCATTGAATGTAGTGATTAACTATTAGGAATACGTGAACTTTGGAATATTCAGAGGTGAGGCACGGCGTTTTGACTCAGCAAAGTTTATTATTGGCGAATGTGTTTGAATTACCTACTCCACAAAGCGTGTTATCTAATGAACATCCGCAATCGCCGTACACACGAAGTTGTATAAACATAAGTATGTCTTCAATTTCTATGCTACTCAGATATGCGAACGGTGTCCAAGCACTTCGGAGACGATGTCACTTCGCTGTGGGACTTTGAAAATAGCGTCGAACAGGTAAGGGTGGCCGCAGCTGTTTGCACTGGAATTTTAGACCGTTCCGCGTCACTTTCATTCTTATAAATTTATCAATATCTGCGTGCGTAGCTAGTTGGCAATTTTGGTTGCGTAGTGTTCTGAGAAAAGAATGTCAATTCATGCAGTTGTAACTTGACGAGAAATCTATATATTCCCATACAACTCCAATGCATAGTTTGTTCGTCCCCACCTTATTGCAATCATTGCCACATAACTGATCAACTGTTCTTTGTAAATGCTTTAGACGCAAGCTATAATCTAACAGCTTGTATAGTTTTGTCTATAAGGCACTACAAACCACTAATTCATTTCATATCTATAATACTGCAGTATCAAGCGCAAGGAGGAACATCGAAGTCGTCAGTGCTCGGACAAATAGAGAGTTTGCGAAAAGAACTGGGTAGTGAGACGTCATAAATATAACAATTAGCATGCACGCATCATCTATGAGTGACGGTAGGCGCTCCATCATCTATAAGTGACGGTAGGCGCTGGCCAACTAGAGTATCCCAGTCAAGCATTATTAAAATGGTATACCCCGTCTTACAAAGTAAAGTAAGGACTGCGCACATGTAGAGGGCCACCGCTGACACAACAGATTTTTTTGTATTTCCATTGGAAACAACTTGCCTACGGCAGCAGATGTGGCCAACTGCATCACCCAGTCGAGTGCTGATGCAAATAGGCGTGTACTGCACTAGTTTTGTGTTGTTTTCATGGGTGAGTAACTCCGTTTGTTTGTATTTTCTGGCAGAACATGTACATATAACCATAGTCTTCTGTTTGATTTAGAAGGCTATGATTAAAAAGGGTATGGTGGCACTGTTATCTGTTGCATGATCTATATCCATTACTAGAAACAACACTGCACCATCATAAATTTGTAAGTCACTTGAATGAACCATGGTTGTCTGTGCTAGTTTGTTCACCACCGTTTAACCCCTTTCTATTGCAATATGATGCATAATTGTATGTGATGCCCCATTGGCGCCAGAAACCTCACATGTATGCTATTGCTTTCATACTTTTGCGTACTAGACCTTCAAACCATTTCCCGTCTTCAACGTCTACTTTCTCTCGCGGAACTGTGTTTTTCTACCACGTATGATCACCATTTCATCGTTGGCAGACACCAACGTTCGCAACTCCATCGCGGAAAATGTGTTTCTGTTACCCCGTTGCGTACATTCAAGAGTGTCATAGGCAAAGTCAGGGCAGACCCAGCAGTTTGGCTCTCAACGTCTTCGCGCTATTAATACTCGGGTCTGTCTGTGTGATAAGTATCGCTATGCCGGCCAACTGGCTCAAAAACAAAGTCTCGCTAATAAAATGAAGTTTAATACTGGCTCCTTGAAAACACCATAGAAGAACAAAAATAGAAACCGCAATTATCAACGTTTAATCAGGAGCTTCTCTCGGGATATATTGTGTGCAACAGCTACCAACGCAATTGGAAGTGAGGGGTTGTTTGGTGGTGCTAGGATGACCCAAACGCACTCTGTGAATGAAAAAGACAGAGTCCGCCGTCATCATAGCAACCATGGCCAAACGTTGGAGTCGGTGCGATCACGCCTTACGGCTTTCGTGAAAGTACGTCATATGGTTAGCGTTTGATACTTGGATAAGGATGTGCACACCCGCGCGTACACTATTGGTGCAAGCTCGGGGGTAGTAGTTCGGTGGAGATATGATTTTGACCTACGATAACAACTGCGTCTGGCGAGGTATACCCAACTCCGGGGGCACTGCAGCCCAAAGGTGGCGTGCGTAGTGGTGAACTTAGCCTCTGCGGTGTCGTGCTCAGCTTAAGTCGTCAAGTGCGAATCAGCGCGACCTCCAATCGCTCTCAAAGCCCATAAAGACCCCTCGCGGGAGTGTCTCTACAACTACAACTCAATGCGGCCGGCATCTGGCGACGGCTTCGCCCTTACCTCCCCTTCAGCACCGGACTTGCCACGGGCCAACTCCACATAGGCACGCATACATAGGCACGCATGTACTTCATATCACCCAGTTCACCACACATAGACTGGGTGGTCTGCTTCTCGTAGGCCTGTCCATTGGGCACATACGACACATCTTTGCACACACCACACACATCAAACACCTCGCTTCAAAGCGGCAAGGGTTCGAATTTGCTCCAGATAACGATCACACAAGCACGGGGAGCAGCACTGAGGCGGGCACACCTAACATATCATGCACTGATTATCAATAAAAGTGTGTATATTCCGTCCATCCAGTCGCTACAACATACCCGTCGCAGCGTTGAAGTATCGGATGGTGGGCCACCCGCCCTGGCCCGCACCGTACTTGGTGATGCGGGTCTTGCTTAGCATGACGTCGAACACTATGTTGTCAGCGGCATGGTACTCTGGGCGGATAAATGCATAACTAGTGTCAGCTCAACACAATGGCCACGCCGTCGTATGGCTAGTGATATATAAACGTGACACAACTGGCATTGATCTGTTAAGACTTGCTATGACGGGTCACATACTTCTAACGGGCCAAGACTTGCTATTTCGTATTGACTAATGTGGTAAACGGCCGGTGTGTAGGCTGGATTAATTGAGGATACCGAGATGACTAACTATGAATTGTCCACGAGGGGTATTGATTATTCACTAGGGGAGTTCATTACTCGATACGGAACTTGGTCAAAACCTCACAGGCAGAGTGTACCATATATGAGTTCGCATACACAGTATCTGCACCTCTAATCCAAACAGATCATATGCTGCCAACTCTTGGGATCAAAACCACCAATCCATCAAAACGAAGGAACTAATCTTCCGAAGGACCAAGTGGCAGCTTACCTTTCACAATTACATTCCAGGCCGGAACCTTTAAGGTCCAGAGTATGGTTAGATGAAGAAAGAACAGAGGTGACAAGTGAGTATACCAATGAAGCCACGAGATATAAAGTTTTTCAAGATGTATGTAGATAGATACAATAAGCGGTCGAAAAAAAGCGCACAGCAGCACAAAGCAAGAAAACTAATCAACAAACTCGTCAATAAACTCTAATATATTTTGAGCATAATAGTCAGTGATTCGTGTTTCCACAATTATCCATGCAGCTAGAGGCAGAAAAAGCGTACGAGAAGTTTCATTAATACTCGCAGGCCGCTATACCTATCCATGGATATATGTTGAGTAGTGGTCAGTGATCTTGACTGGCTATACAAAAGTTCTCCGTGCAACTAAAGACAGACAAGAGAACGAGCAGTTCCTAACCGAGACTTTAAAAGGGCTTATACCTGCTTGACTATCAAGAGCCATATCTGCATTTGACTATTTAATGGCTATACCTGCATTTGACTATAAAAGAGCTATACCTGCTTTTGTCATCACCCTCACCCAGCGGACGCAATCCAGCGCACCAGTAGCGCTTTGTCGGCCTTGAGAGTTTCCGTGATAAGCTGACAGAGAGAATGGGGTGATTTTTTGTGTCAGTTCAATACTGAGTGAACGGTCCGATAAAACAGAACTTCGAGTACCAATTTCTAGAGTGGAAAGTTAAATTAAAGTTTGGCAATGTCACACTACACAGCCCTATATTGGCCGGTCTCTAGGTGTTAGGACTTGGATCAATCACGCTATTGTCATGTATGAATGTAAGCATGCACGCACGACCACAGCGCACGTATACGCACACGCATGAAAGTAGAAGTACAGCTGTATAGACGTACAGCCATTTAGAATACTGCTCGTCAATATGAACATACCCTGTATGCATATGTATGTATCTGTGAGTAATCATGTGTGTGCATACAAACACGGGCGTAAATCTTCCGTATGCTGACAATATATTCACCATACACGTGAAGATAGCCTCATAATACTCTCATATAGGGAAGTGTGGACCTTGCTGTCACAACGAATTCGCCATAAGGAAGTTACATGTATGAAAATTTATGTCTAAAACATACTCGTAGCAATATAAAGCATCAATACATATACTTTCTAAGGTTTATTCATTGACTACATCAATTTTAATGGAGCATCGTGACCACAAGTACAATATGCACAATACAGGTTATTCGTGAAACAAGAAGAAACAAATCAAGTCGAGAAACAGATATTAATAAAAGGGCTGCGAGAATGCTCGCAGTGTATACACATCACTAATGAAACAATATATTTAACACATTCGGCGTAATAAATTTCCAAAGCCTTTTCCCTTCCAGAACTTTCTAGATCTAAATATAAATATGAATCACTAGCAGCGTACGATCGCTAGTGCAATATACATTCGTCACCAATATCCTCAATCACTATTATGTGATGAAACACCACAAACCAATGCAACCGTCAGATATATACTAAGCATCCACTGGCCCAATATCCCATGCAAATGACGCCGCACAAACACATACACATACGCATTTAGAGACCGATTGAGGAGGCAGACCTGCACATACGCATACGCACGCAGCAAACTGAAAAGTATATACCATCGCTTAAACAAATACCTCGTGCAGATGCGATCCGTTTTCAATATCGGTACTATACTCCCAGTGGTCAGGGGGATATATGGCCACACTCACACTCACGAAGAGTGTGAGCACCGCCACTATCAGTAGTAGCGCCTGCCTCATTTGGTGCGCCATACTGCATGGGCAATACTATGTGAACAGGTACCATTACGACGCGAGTTATTTACCTAATCTGTTGTTCTGTACAGTCATGAATCAAACCTCTGGTTTTCGTCCACCTTAATTGTTGTACATTTCTGGCGGCTTTCTCTGCCTAGAACTGATGCCAGTTTGGCCAAGGTGATGCGAAGCAAAAGACAAGGTTACAAATAGTGCCAACACAGTCTAGCATAGATCCGCATAATAACGGATAAATAAAAGTTAGTGTTGAGGCACAAACACTTTGAAATCAAACTCCAAGCCATTTCCAATCCATCTCACAAGTATGATCACGAACAAGGAATAGGCACTCTCGAACAAACAGAGGCAACGCTTAGAACAAACAGTAAAAATATAGTTCATGAGAAACAAGACATGCTAATAATTGGATGGGGTTGTAGACATACACGATTGCAGTTAGATCACATTAAAGTCACAACGACCTTGAAATACAACGTGCATAAGTGTTACAAAGTGGAGAAATACAATCTCACTAGGCACAGGATCTAACATCAAGCGGTGAAGTTAACATAGCCACTGTTCGGAACAAGAACGAACATCAAAAGGTGACGTTCACATAGACACATCAAGATGTGACGTCACCAGGACCGAACATCTCATTTGAGATCACCCACAAGAAATTAAGTTCTCACATGACGAAATAAACATAAGTAAGTCCACACGTGACGAAATAAGCTTGACTAACAAACACTATTTAAATCCTTCCAATCACAGGAAGGAAAGCAATAAGCTACCGTACCATACAGAACGGTCAACACTTCCCACGGAAGTGCAGCAAAGCAACAACAATACAAAAGTAAGTAAAATATCTTCCAATTTTTATTGATTTTATATAAATTATTACCAAAGACAAGGGGGGTGAAGCGCGCATTTGCACAAAATATAACAAGAGGCTTTACTAATAACCTGCAGTATACCACACACCCATCA